TGGAATGAATTTTTAATTTTTTACTAAAAGATGTACAAAAAGTAAAGAGAAAAGAGAATTTTTAACTTTTTAGTATAAGTTGTTGACTTTTTGATATTTTTAATGACTTTTTCGCTCTTAAGCCAAAAAGTAGGATTGTCAAACGAGACCTTAGTTGATTAAATTTAGTTTAACAATTTAACAAATTTTAACATGTGTTTAAGTTTAATTTAATTGCTTAACGAGTCAATCTTAAATGAAATTTTAACGAATTATACATGAGTAGCCCTACAAATGAAATGAATTTTTAACGTGTAATTATAAAATTAATCACTTAAAAAAGCCAACTAATAAATGTAACATAAAAAAAATGGCCAATCAGATGACTTTCGCATCAAATCATGAAATTCACATGTAAGTCTTATATTTTAGTGAATATATTAATATTTAGGTCACGTTTGACATATTACAAAAAATTTAAAAAGTTAAAAAATTATTCAAAAAATTAAAAAGTTAACACTATTCATCAAAAGTCAACAATTACGGCTGCACAACTCCCAATCTTAATTTTTTCCTACAAATCAATTTTTATAATTTTTTATTACGCATTTTTCGATAAAAAGTTAAAAAGTTAACCCAAACATCCATATTTTCTTCCTCAATTTTTTAGTCCAAAAAGATAAAAAATATACTTATTTAGGACACCCCAAACAATCACATGCCAATTAACAAAGAAGCTTGTGAATAAGAAGGGATTTAATCTATTTAAAATTATAATTATTGTTTAGTGTTTATATAAAAAAAATTTCCAAAAGTATTAAATGAAGGAAATTGTTAATAGTTTTTTTTTGTTGGATTAGATTCCCTCTAGTTCCAGATCAAGAGTGGATAGTGTTGTTCGGACTTGTGAGACTTACCACGAGTCCTAATTCGATGATTATAATTGTTTAGGTTGTCGGACCCTTTGCGTGTATCATCTATAACAAAATTAAGCCGATTTGATAATCTTAACTTGTTTAATTTATCACTTTTGTCTTAAAAAAATAAAATACATGATAAATGTGCTTTTGAAAATAGATTATCCATTGCTTTGATGATAAATGCGATAAACTGAATATGTCACCATTATCGAATCGATCTAATTTTTTTGTGAATGATAAACGCAAATTTTTTTACAAATGAACAATTTAAATTATTGAAACAGGACCTAAACAACACCATCCAATCTAAATTTGAATTGAAAGGAGTCCAATTTTTTTTTTGGCTGCCCTTAAAAATAGGAAATAGCTAACAATTATTATTGAAATTTAAAATTTTGTCTGAAATTATTTTTAAAAAATTTACACTGAATAATAATAATTAGTTAAATTTTCACATATTAAATTTCATTAAGTATACTATCATGGAAAGCAAATTGGTGTAAATTTTTAGCTAATATTATTAAGTGTAAATAATAATTGTTAAGGGCAGCCAAAATTTCAATAATCTTTCCACGATAGTATACTTAATGAAATTTAATATGTGAAAATTTAACTAACAATTATTATTCAGTGTAAATTTTTAAAAAATAATTTCAGTTTAGTAGTAAAATTTATGTACATTAATAATTAAAGTCTTAAATTTTTTTTTATAAATTTATAATTATTTTGTACAACCACTTCGAAGTGGTAATTCTTCCAAAATTTAATGTGAAAGCTCTCACATCAAAATTAGTTTAATGAAACTTTTAAAAGTGGTAAAGGGATCCCATTCCTTTTCAGCCATGTTCTGTCTTGCCGTGTCTTGCACTCTCTAGTAGATGAAGACGTGTGGCAACCAGGGATCCAAAGGCGAGGGAGAGGCCACATTTTGTGCATGTCAGTTGACCGGCCGGACGACTACCTAGACAACCAGTGCAATACTTGTCTATCATGGCTGTCACCCTCATCAACCACGACTGTCACTTTGTTACCGGATGACCAGTCGAATGATCCTAAAAAAATACAAGATAATAGCCAGATTGAATAGTGCTGAAGAGGAGGTGGATCCGTGGAAAAGAGTATGCTGTTCAAATAAATTTCATCCATTGATAATGTCAAGTGGGTGGAATGGAAGCATTTAAAGAAATTGTATATTGCACAATTTTGATAGTTGGTAACTCTTTTAATTGGTTTCAGTTTTACTTGTTGAGGAATGGATGTGCCTTTTCCCTCTCACTTTCTCCCCCGTACTATTCTCTCGTGGATACTCTCCTTGTAGTTGATTTTGATAATATAAGAATTAGGGGGTGGAATTAAAAAATTTAGGAAAGATTATAAAATTAAAAAAAAAATTGACTCTGACAATAAATCAAAAACTAACTTTTTAATTGATTCAATTTAAATTTTAAACTTTTAAAGTAATATAACGGAATAAGGGTAATTTAGACAAATTGATCATTTTTTGTTGGTTATGTTGAATGACAACAATGGCTATGAATTGGGGAAGAAATAAGAGGGGCAACAGTGAGCTGGAAAAGGAGAGAAGTAGCGGTGGACAAGAAAAATAGATGGAGGCTTGACAATGGATTGATGAAGAAAAAAGGGTGGTGATGGATAATGGTAGAGTGGGAGATGGCTGTCAACAGTAATGAAAAAGAAAAAAAATAGTTAAATTGTCTAAATTATCCCTTTTAACATATATAAATAGATTGTTCGAATTTATTTGCTCTTGAAATTTTAGGATTTAAATTGAAACAATTAAAAAAAATAGACTTTGATTTGTTACTAAGCTAAAACCTTAATTTTTTATATATATATATTTTTTAATTTTTTCAAAATTTTAGGGAAATTAACAACTCAATAGAAGTTCTAAATAAATTACAAATTAGTAATACACGTTATCAATAATAAGAGTCTTAAACTTTTCCATTTCTATAATATTTTTTTTGGGGATAAATTGCAAATAAGCTCCTTGATATTTGCTTAAAATACAAATATGGTTATGAAAATTACAAATACTCCTTTGTCATAATTTTTTATTTAACAAAAAAAAAATGAAATTCTTAATTATTCTCCTATATAACAATAAAATTATCTGAATTATTAATTGAAACATATTTTTGATATTATTAAAAACTATTAATTGACTTGATAATTTATTAATAAAACGGGTCATTTGTTATGTGGTTAGAAATTTGAAGAAGCAAAATGTAATTTTTAGAATCATAGGGGCCAATTCGCATTTTTAAGTATATCTCAGAAGATGCATTTATAATTCATATTTTTTGAAAGTATAGCTGGATAGTAATTCCCTCAAAATTTTATGTAGAAGGAATCAAATTAAAAATATCAAACAAAATTTTAGAGTATTAGACATTTTTCGTGCAAATCAAACACACAAGTTTTTAGTGATTTGTGAATGAAATTTTTTTTGAATAATAATAAATATGTATTAAAAAAATTATATTACAGCACCAAAATTAAATTCATATAACCATTCAGTCTAATTGTATGCTTTAAGAGATCAGAATAAAAGTTTTATTTATTTATTTATTTATTTTTTTGTTCTTTGGAAAAGAAAAATAAAAAAGAAAAAAAAAGAAAGATGGGGCCATGACACCACCTTAACTACTCGGCTCCGTCATTGATAACACTAATTAATATGAAATAGAGAAAAAACACTAATTAATCAGTGAATTGTGCCTTTACAGCACTACCAATAAGGGCATTCCTACCCTTCCCATCCTTTAGAGCATCCTCCTCCTCAATATGAACGGTTTAGATCATAAAAATAAGATCATAATACATCTCAAACGGAAGTACCACAGTCACTGCTATGCTACGAGCACAGCAGTGGCCCCTGCTCCTTTTTTTTATGTTACATTTATTAGTTGGCTTTTTTAAGTGATTAATTTTATAATTACACGTTAAAAATTCATTTCATTTGTAGGGCTACTCATGTATAATTCGTTAAAATTTCATTTAAGATTGACTCGTTATGCAATTAAATTAAACTTAAACACATGTTAAAATTTGTTAAATTGTTAAACTAAATTTAATCAACTAAGGTCTCGTTTGGCAACCTTACTTTTTGGCTTAAAAGCGAAAAAGTCATTAAAAATATCAAAAAGCCAATAACTTATACTAAAAATTCAAAAATTCTTTTTTCTCTTTATTTTTTGCACATCTTTTAGTAAAAAATTAAAAAGTCATTCCAAATATATTAATTTTTTTACATCATATTTTAATTAAAAAGTTAAAAAATTACTAAAAAACATGTTCCCAAACAAGATCTTAATTCGCAAAATTTATATACACTATAAAAAATTAAGATATTAGAGCCCGATAGGTTAAAAATTCATTAAAGGTCGGCTTATTATATTAATAAATCAAATTTAAATACATTTTGAGGTCTTGTTTGGCATGCGAATATTTTAGTCTAAAAGTTTAAAATTATTAAAAAACTTATAACTTATATTAAAAAGTCAAATATTTTTTTTCTTTTTTACTTTTTACATACCTTTTTGTAAAAAATAAAAAAATTATTTCAAATATATTAATTTTTTTACCTTATATTTTAATTAAAAATTAAAAAATTACTAAAATAACATATCTTCAAACAAAGCCTTAATTTCGTTAAATTTTAAATCCAAACTTCAACAACGTATTACAAAACTTGATTCAACTCAGCTTGACTCGGCCTACTCAGGGAACAAAACTCGTGGATTTATGAAGAAACCATTAGTGAATTAATTTTCAGTTTAAAAGCCTTACATCATAAATAAATACCTACTTTTCAGTTTCATGGCTAGGCTAACCCAGCTGACTCGTCATCTCTCTCTCTCTCTCATGCCCAAAAAATGATTCCAAAATTAAGTGGCAAAGCTCATTAAAAAGTCCACAAAAGTGATTGACTTTTTCTCTTCAAATGTTGTTGATGATTTTATTGAATTACCAAAATACCCTTTTTCTCAACTACCACCTCCACCACGGTTTTACCAGACCCACCTAAACCAGCCCTATAAAACCCCTTCTCTCCCCTCCCTCTTCTCTTCAGGTACCCTTCAAACTCACACGCAAAAGGTACCCCCACTTTCTCTCTCTAAAATCTCTCTCTGAAAAAAAAAAAAAAAAAAAAAAAAAACACAAATCCAGTAATGGCTATTGCTAGCACTAGTTCTCTCCTTCCTACCAAAACTTTGATTCAAACCCAATCTCTCTCATCTTCTTCCCAAACCCACCAGCCTTCTCTCCCCAAATCCCTCAGATCCGTCAAACCCATCTCCGCCGTCCATTCCCCCGAGCCCTCCAAGAACCCCATCGTCTCCGACAAGCCACCGAAGCCAACCACTTCGGCGGCGGCGGCAACCTCGGCGGCCGCGACGGTGACGAAGCCTGATACTGTTCCGAAGAAATGGACTGTCGATAGCTGGAAGGCGAAGAAGGCTCTTCAGCTTCCGGAGTACCCAGATCAGGAAGAGCTCGAAACGGTTCTCAAAACCCTCGATGCGTTCCCTCCGATTGTGTTCGCCGGAGAGGCTAGGCATCTCGAGGAACGCCTCGGCGAGGCTGCTATGGGCAATGCGTTTTTGCTTCAAGGTGGAGATTGCGCTGAGAGTTTCAAGGAGTTTCACGCGAATAACATTCGAGACACTTTCAGGATTATCCTCCAGATGGGTGCTGTGTTGATGTTCGGTGGACAAATGCCAGTAATCAAGGTCAGTTTTTTCTTTTCTCTTTCTTTAATTTTTGTCTATTTGAGCTTGTTTTGGTGTTTCTATTGAAATTGAACAAAGTTTGGATTCTGGGTATTGGTAATCGAGGTCATTTTTCTCTGTTGATTTTATATTGTTTTGGTGTTTTTTTTTTTTAATAATTTATTTATTCAAATTGAACGGAATTTGGATTCTGGGTATTGGTAATCAAGCTCATTTTTGTCTTGTTTTGGTGTTTTTATTGAAATTGAACGAAATTTGGATTCTGGGTATTGGTGATTTAGGTGGGAAGAATGGCCGGTCAGTTTGCGAAACCCAGATCGGATCCATTTGAAGAGAAGAATGGTGTGAAGCTTCCGAGTTACAGAGGTGACAATATCAATGGAGACGCCTTCGATTTGAAGTCGAGAACTCCGGACCCACAGAGGTTGATCAGAGCCTACTGTCAATCTGCAGCAACTCTCAATCTCTTGAGGGCTTTCGCCACCGGAGGGTACGCCGCCATGCAACGAGTCACCCAGTGGAATATGGATTTCACAGAGCACAGTGAGCAGGGAGATAGGTATGCCCAGTTCAGCCACAGTGATGTTTTGTTTTGTTTCCTAATCCTGCTTTAGCTTGAAAGATTTTCTTTGGAATATTTCTGTTTAAAAACAAATGAACATTCTGATTCTAGGTCACTTTCATGTGCTTTGTTGATATTTATGGCTTCTTATAATTTTGTCATTTTAGAGCTTTTATGTTGAATTTCAATTCTATTTAGTCCTCTATCAATGTCACTGGTATTATATATGTATATATATATATTTGGATTTATACAATATAATAGCTGTCGATGAGAGTATCTGTAGTGGAGATGGTGAAAGTTTAGGCCGGTAGCATCTCCACGTGGAGAGAAAGCCACTCCCCAACAACCACCAACAGTTAGATGCGAGCAACCAACTCAACCACCCCAATGCCACCAAAGGCTATATTTTAATTGGGTTGAACGGTCTATTTATTTATTTATCTTGGAAGATAGCGGTTTAATTGAAGCTGAGAGGCTTGTGCATGCCGCCGTGGCTAGCTAAAGTGCTAACCACATATAGCAAACAACTTACCGATTGACTGGTTAGCATTTTAGATAATATATGCATTGGAGTTCCCAAAAGTAAGAACTCCAATTCTTAATATATGCATTTAGCAATTCCTCTCAAGAACTCCAATTCTTGACTCAAACTTAAACCCAAACTTACATGAAATTGAATTTTTCTCAATCCAAATCAAGGGAGACTCAAATGTTTATTCAAAAATTTCAAGGCTATTTTGTTGCTCTCAAAATCACCACTTTGCCATTAGTGAAGCTTTTACAAGAATTTATGCTTAAATATGAGTTTATCCAGTGAGTGGTTCATATCAAATAAAGCTTTTATTCAAAAAAATTATCTACTTTTTAGTACAATTTTGAATAAGAATTGGAGATGGCCTAACTAACCATTTTTTTGATGAGAGCATCTTCTTAACATGTCCTTGAGAGATGCTCTTACGTGTTAACAGACTTTTTGCCTTGCACTTTTATTATTAGTGCTTGGGAATTTTGAACTTAAAACTAGGTTTTGTTGGACGCTCGGTGCATATTTGAGTTAGGGTGGGTTAAGTTACTGTGTATTTAGATCTTACAAGGTTTATTGTTGTCATGGCACATCAGGTATCGGGAACTAGCTAACCGAGTTGATGAGGCCCTTGGATTCATGTCTGCTGCTGGACTTACAGTTGATCATCCTATCATGACAACCACTGATTTTTGGACATCGCATGAGTGCTTGCTCTTGCCTTATGAGCAGTCACTTACCAGGATGGATTCAACTTCCGGCTTGTACTATGATTGTTCTGCTCATTTCCTCTGGGCTGGGGAACGAACTCGGCAACTTGATGGTGCCCATGTTGAGTTCTTGAGAGGAATTGCTAATCCCCTTGGAATTAAGGTAACTTCATTATTTTAGTCTTATTTAGGTTGTTTATTTATGTCGAATGTTAGGTTGATGTGTAATATGTGGAGTAAGAATAGGTGGCCTAATAAAATTGCTTTAAAACAGGTGAGTGACAAAATGGACCCTAATGAGCTGGTTAAGCTCATTGAGATATTGAATCCTCAGAACAAACCAGGGAGGATTACAATTATCACAAGAATGGGAGCAGAGAACATGAGGGTGAAGCTTCCTCATCTAATTAGGGCAGTTCGCAGGGCAGGGCAAATTGTAACTTGGGTTAGTGATCCTATGCATGGCAACACCATCAAGGCTCCTTGCGGTCTCAAAACTCGCCCCTTCGATGCCATCAGGGTAAAGTGCTCACTTTTCTATTTTTTTCCTTTTTTTTTTTGGGTTGGATTTTTTATTCAATTTGAATGATTTACTTAATTTAACCTACACAATGGCATCAATAAGAACGAAAATGGAACTAGGCACTCAGGATGACACCAACATAAATACTAATTCATGCCCAAAACTAATTGCAAATAATGGTATGTCCATTTATAAGTACTTTCTAAAATGAAGCACTATGTAATAGTTTTGTATACATGAGTTGGCCAAATTCCCATTAAAGCTGTGGCTTTTAAGATGCTTTTTGTTATACTGTTTGTTACGAATTGACCAATATAAGCTTGATTTTCTGCAATGGAATTGTGAGAATTATGTGTGTGAATAATTTTCTGCCACATCACTTTTAATTATTTGGTAAAGAGTCATAGTATGAAAAATCACATTACTCATCAATGATCGCTTCTCTTAGAACATCAGGATCTATGCCACGTGCATGATCGTAAGAAGAGGGTCCATTGTTTTGGAATTTATTCTTTTTTTATTCGATAAGCTGGATAATTGAGCCTTGGCTCAATCCTGAGGGTGGGCCTACTTAGTTGAACCACCTTGAATTATGGGGCATTGTTTAGCTTACAGTGAAGATGGTTATTCATTTCTTAGCGAAGAGACTTGGAACAAGATTATAAATAAGGTGTGGTAGGTGGGAAAGTGACAACTTAAGGTGTGTTTTGGTGAAATAGTCAAAATGAGATTCCTTGAACGTGTATTCAATGACGCAAGTAAGACATTTCTTTGGTGGGTAGGTGTGGTGGTGTCCTCGTCTTTGATAGGTTAAATTATGAATTTTATTTTCATTAATCCCCGCATACAAGCCAATTTACTTATCATGGAAATTTGTCGTTTGATAGAAACTAATTAAAATTATTCGTTGAAAATATTAAAATTTTGCGTTTCATATGAACAGGCCGAAGTGAGAGCCTTCTTTGATGTGCATGAGCAAGAAGGGAGTCACCCGGGTGGAGTTCATTTAGAGATGACTGGCCAAAATGTGACAGAGTGCATTGGTGGGTCACGAACTGTGACCTTTGATGACCTGAGTTCGCGCTACCACACCCACTGTGATCCTAGGCTTAACGCTTCTCAATCTCTGGAGCTTGCTTTCATCATTGCAGAGCGACTACGAAAGAGGCGGCTCGGATCACAGAATTCATTAAAGCTGTAAAATGGCTTCATCAAGAGACCCTCCAAATATGTTTGCTTCTTTTTAATATCTAAATTTGCATCACTGGGCTGTATAAGTACAATATTGTATTTTGGCTGTTTTAGTTTTAAAGTATGTCATGTCATGTATTGTATGTGTATATTGTGAAGTGATGGTTTGAGAACTCTGAAGAGACGGTAATAAAGCAACAAATTATGGCTGCATTATGCATTGATAAATGGTGTTTTAGTGGAATAGTGTAGTTTATTGGAGTTGCTTATGATTAATTTTTATTTTAGAAATTGGTAGTGTTTGTTTATTGTAACTTTTGTCTATAACTTATGTGTTAAAAATAAATTAAATACATTTTAAAAGTTAATCATTTAAACAAATTTATGCGCTAAAAATAATTTAATTACATTTTAAAAGTCAATCATTGGGAAGGTGATTATGTATGATTTTTTACATTTAATTTTTTATAATCAGTTTTTAATTTTTGTATTCTGATTATTAGTTGCACTAATAGTGTAGCGTACAGCCATTTGATTGAGCCAACAACTGCCAGTCATTTGGAGTTTATGGTTGAAAATGGATCAAGGTCAAAGTATAAGATTAAAACTGTATGTGGTTAGTTCAGTACCCTCTTAACTGTTACAGTTTTGGTTCAACTTTGAACTTGTTTAGAAGCCTAATGTTTGTGTCTGATATTTAGTGTGATTTTAAATAAACTTGCATATAATCTCTCTGTTTTGGTGGTATGGTATGCTTAGTTGCTGGTTCTTTTTGGGCTCATTGCATACAAATCTCGAGTTGTTTGTTTGGGGAAATATCATTTTGTCCCTTAAACGTTCACACGTTTTTCAATTTGATCTTCATACTACGATTAATATCAATTTTATACCTAAACTTTCAAAAAAAATGATTAATTTAGCCCATACCGTCACATTTCTATAATTGGGCGGAATGTGTTGCGCTTTCCCCCTAAACTATCTTTTGGAGGGAAATTGTAGTCTTTCCTCCCATATTCAACCTCTCCCTTCTGCTATTTAACACAAGCAAGTTCCAAAAAAAAAAAAATCGGAGCATCATTTGGGTGGGTGAGAGAGAATGAGGAATAGAGGGTCAAGAAATCAGGGAAAATGGAGCTCAACTAAGGGAAGATGGAGCTCAAGTGACATGGAAGACGTCAAGTGCATCTTCTATGGAAGACGAAGGGTGATACAAACATCATGGACTGATGCAAATCCTAGTAGGAGGTTCCTCAATTATCTCAGTAATGATTGTAATCAGTTCACCAGGGTGGACCTACCAATGTGCTCACGAGGCAGTGCAAATCATCCATGGGTTGTTGAAAAAAGTCAATAAGCTAGAAGTAAGACTACAGACAAGGAATGGAAGAAAGAGAAAGCTATGGATATACTTGGCCGTATCATAGTGCATCATTGTATCAATGTGGTTTGTAATGTAGTGTAAGAAAGAATGTAACGGGAGAAGGGGGAGACTATTATCAATGAATGAATGAATGTAATGGGGGAAATATTATGAATGAAATGTTATGAGGGAAGTATTTTGAATGAAAATTTCATATTTTGTGTTAAGGTTGAACTCTGAAAGAAAAGAAAAAAAAAAAAGCATCACACCATTTGTTTGTCCCTTGAAAAACAATTTGTATTCACCTTTAAAAAAAAAGAGCATCACCATTTAATTAATTATAAAAAAATAAAAAAAACAGTGTCACCATTAAGTCAAAAAATAATTAGTGGATATAAGGTCATAAATCAACAACTACATGAATAGATTTTAGCTATCCGGAACTTCCATTCAGTGGATATAAGGTCAAATAGAGAAAGTAAAAGCTAGGTAGAGAAGTAGAGACAACAATTGCACTGCCAAGACAATGGTGGATCTAACTTCTCTTTGATATAACCAAATTTTTGGACTTATCATCTGGCAAAAAAATTTCATTTTTCGGAGTGCTATGATTGGAATATCATTTAGAGTCTATTTGGATGGATGTGGACTTGAAATGCATGAATTTGACATTAGTTATTGGAGGAGAATAACTCAAATTAGATTTGATAGTTTACTTATGAATTTTAAGATTGAATTGAATAACTTTATCATGTCATGATGGATTTGAAATAATACAAAAGTAGTTATTTGAAATCATGCTAAGGAATTCTAACCACATGGATCCTACTAAAGTAGAGTAGCATGCACAAAACCAACATTCATAAATTTACATACAAATTAGATCAGCATCCATAAAATAGAGCATCTTGCACAAAACCAACATTCATAAATTTGTCATTCAAGTTTTGAAAACACACAATTGTTTATGACAACCAAAACACAACCTTTACGTAGTTAAGAAATTTAGGGCAACCATTCCAAAAAAAAAAAAAAACATTACATGTACAAAAAGCCCCAATGACAAAGTGATGTTCAATGCTGATTTCCAAAAAAGTGATTAGTATCCTAAATGATTACCATCCAAAAACAAAAAATGTTTCTTCAATCTTCTATGCAGTGGATGCTTTCTTCTTCTGTGCAGTGGATTCAATCTCCATGTGCTTTCTTCTTCTGTTCACTGGATGTTATTTTAAGGCCACTAGCATTGTACACTAGCTTGTCTCTCCACATCATTTGACCCTACTTTGGTGAGGTGGTTGAACTCATTGGAGATGGAGTTGACTGACTTTCTTGTACCACTCTCCTTTTAACCTGCATTAAGATTGAATTATCCACAATTAAACGCAATCAAATATAGGACAGTTAAGTTACTATTAAAAAAAAAAAATTATTGCACTTATAGCCAGTTTCTTTTGTCTTCTGTGTGGCCTGACCTTACTTTTTTTTGTAGTTACTTGACTCTGAGGTTGGCTTTCTTGAGTTTGGTTTCCCTAAGATTGGCTCCCTTTAGGTTGGCCCCATGCAGGCTGAAAAACATGATTGCATGCATGAAACAATGTTGACAAACATGAAATAAAATAAACAAAATTGATAAACAATAACTTAACTTACGTTTTCTTGCATGTAGTTGAATTTGCCTTTCACCTTGCAACTTCTCCTGTTGTGTCCCACCTTCTCATAATTCTTACAAGTCATTTGAGTGTCCTGCCTTTCTAGCTTTGTTCCTTCAGTTGGTGCCTCAATCTCTTTTCTTTTATTTAGTTTAGCCCTCCCAACGCTCTTCTTCACATCAAGTGACAGCACATTTGCATACTCAATTCTTGGCTACATTTCTTTATCATTAATAGGACTCAACATGTTGTCATAGATCTTTAGATAAGTCTCCACCTTGTAGTACTGATGAACATATTTTTATGGTTTTTGACCCAAGTAATTTGTAGTAGCCACAACATGGGCACATGGAATGCCTAGCAGATCCCACTTCCTGCAGCTATAACTCCAAGCTTGCAAATCCATCTTGTATTGCTTATCATATGGCCCTACAACCTCAAATTGCTCATTGCCATTCCATCTAGGAATCTATCCAGCTGCATCCACTTTCATTTTCTCCAACTGATTCTGAGTCTTAGAACATATAGGACTATTGTGCATTTGCATTGTATCTCTTCTTTTTTATACTGTGTCAACCAATAACAACCTAATCTTCTCCAACATTGTTAGCACATTGAATTGAAGCACTCACATAGATTGTTTAGTAAAATGTCACACTTTGAAAAAGTGTTGAGGTGGCTCCTACTCCAATGAATTGGTGGTCTTTGTACTAACCAAGCATATGCCTTACAATAAACTTTTAATCTCTTCTATCACTCTGGTAACAGGAATAGTAGTTGCCCTGATAGCCTTCCATAACAGATCTTTCAGAACTAACCCCTTGTATTCACCTTTAAAATTGTTGTACAAATGCCTCACACAAAACTTGTGTGAAGTATTTGAAAACAACTCAACCATTGCATTAATCAAACCCTTCTGTTTATCACTCATGAAGGTATAACAATGAGAATTTATAATATTCAAATCATGTCGTAGCAGCTTTAGAAACCACAACCATGTTTTCTTCTTCACTTTCTTAACAATTACATAGGCAAATGGAAATACACAATTGTTTGCATCTATCCCAACAGCAATCAAGAAAATACCACCATGTGAAATGGCATCCATCAACCCGTATCACTGGCCTATAAGCATTCATAAAAGCTTTCTTTAATGGACCCGAACACAAGTACAACCTTTTGAACTTTAACTTTGTATTACTTCCACCATTAACCCTTGCATTACTCCCTTCATTAACCTTTAGAACTTGTTTCACCTTCATGCACACTGTTGTCTCAAAATTGGTACTCCTAATCTCCTTAATGTAACTCCATAACAGTGCAAATTGCTCAGTTGCAGTACTCTCTACCAGTGTCAACACTTTCTTTCTTGCCCTTCTCACTCTTTGTAAGTTAACTTTGACATTGTACTGACTTTAAATTGTGTCTGCTAATGACTGAATTAGCCATGTAGGATTTAACCTAATTCTTTCAAAGTAGCTTTTCACAATTCATTTGGAACTCACATATGCCACATCAAAAGACCTATTACAAGTGTGCTCATCAACAAGTGTTTTGATCTTATGCACCCTGTCACTTTTATACTGTGTCCATCAACAACAACCTAATTTTCTCTAACATTGTCACCATAGGTTTACTCCTAGCTTCCAAGATGCTTGAATTGAAGCGCTCACATAGATTGTTTAGTAAAATGTCACACTTTGGAAAAGTGTTGAAGTGGCTCCTACACCAATGAATTGGTGGTCTTTGTACTAACCAAGCATATGCCTTACAATAAACTTCTTTAATCTTTTCCACCACTCTAGTAAATGCAGGAATAGCAGTTGCCCTGCCAGCCTTCCACAACAGATCTTTCAGAACCAATCCCTTGTGTTCACCCTTAAAATTGTTGTACAAATGCCTCACACAAAACCTGTGTGAAGTATTTGAAAACAACTCAGCCACTGCATCAATCAAACCCTTCTATTTATCACTTATGAAGGTATAAAATAAGAATTTATAATATTCAGATCATGTCCTAGCAGCTTTAGAAACCATAACCATATTTTCTTCATCGCTTTCTCTACAATTACATAGGCAAATGGAAATATGCAATTGTTTGCATCTATCCCAACAGTAGTCAAGAGAATACCACCATGTGACCTCTTCAAATGGCATCCATCAACCCCTATCACTGGCCTATAAGCATTCATAAAAGCTTTCTTTAATGGACCCGA